TGCCGATATTTACATTTAAAGCCATTATCGGCCGATTCCGATATCAGTCCGATAATATTGTGCATCCCTAATATATAGATATATAGATATATATATAGATATATATGAGAGATGGAAATTCGTCAGCAATGTCTCCAAATCACATCAAAACAAACAGCTAACATAAACATCTTATGTGGAGGACCAACAGAAAACGCCTCTGAATAGATTGTAAATGGTTGTATGATCTCGACCCAAAGGAATGAACGTTTTTGAGATACTGTGGCTTGTCTCACAATGTTTTGAAGGTCTGAACAGCTCCATATAAAACTAAAACTGGCAAGATCTTAAATGCCCAGGATGTTTAAACCTGTCAGAACACAAAGTGGAGAGGAAGTCGAGGACGATTGAGTAGAACTGAGGGTGGTGTTACTCTTCCATGGTCTTTAAAGGGAGAATACAGTATTAAGATGCTGTGAATGATTGGGAATAGCTTTAAGGGGCATCAACAAGTTTGTCAATGTGATGCCCGACTGCTCCAGATGTCAGCAGCGCATGAGTGTGCATGTCTATGTGAGTGCATGTGTGTATGCATTTGGGAGAGGACACGGGGACATGTTTCTTGAATTTCCAAGGCTCAGATCCCATCTACACCCCCCCCCCCAACAAGTCTTAGTGTCCTGCCAGTCTCAGTATGCGGGGACCAGGTCTTTGTCATAATCATATCTGCCCCTTTTAGGGGCGGGGCTGTCCTGGCTGTCATCAGTGTCCTCACTGTCCTCAGCTCCGCCCCCTCCTTCTTCCTCCGAAGAGTCGTCCAGAGTCAGATCCACCACAGCTCCGCCCCCCGCCCCGGCACTGGTGCCGCCGGTTCCTGCCGATGCACCACCCGATCCAGACTTCCCGGTCTGGTTTGTGCCGCTGTGTGCTGGGGAGTGGCCGTTCGCCTCAGGAACACCTTGGATGAGAGTTAAGACCCGTTATTTCCCATTAAATATTTAGATTTGCTCAAATGTAATATTATGCAAGTTAAACGTGTTGAAAATGACATTTCAGAAGGAAGAAACCTTCTTACATATATCCACCACAGGACAGTCAGGTGTGCGGCTGTTTTCCCGCTCTCTTTCCTTCTCTTTGTCATCCCTGATTGGCCTCCATGAACCGTCAGTCAAATACTCAATCTCCTCCACATCCTCCGGCGTCTCTTTAAGGATCTCGGACAGCAACCTGAAATGGGTCACGTTTGGTGAGTTTTACTGCCAGAGCCTGCGAGAAGCGAGGAGTTTAAGTAACTGTGCTTACCCATCAATAGTTAGAAGCTCAAAGGGAGCGGGTTTGTCGCATACGGGGCAGGTCCACGTGGGTTTCTTTTCATTCATTTGCAGGAAAAAGACAGCGTCAAAACACTGCAGGTGGGCGCAGGTGAGCACTCGACATGGCACTCCAAGTCTCATCTTTACCAGCTGCGTTGAAAAGACTTATTAGATCTATAACATTGCTATGATGGTTCCACAGCTAAGGTTCCACATAAAAGACAAAAACAGGACACTTACAGGACAGATGAGGGACACTCGCAGTCCCGTAGTGGCAATCTCACTCTCAGGATCAAAGCGCAACTTGTCCTGAACTGTGTACATACAAACAAAAAAGGTTTCAGTATAATATTGATGCCATGTATATATGTATATTTACACACACACACACACACACTACTGTTTTAAAGTCTGTCAATGTTTTTGAAAGAAAAAGGCTAAACGCACCGAGGCTGCATTTATTTAAGTAAAAATATAGTATTATTGCAAAATATTTTTGAAATTAAAAATATATTAAAATTGAAAACAATCATTTTAAAATGTAATTTATTCATGTGATGTCAAAGCTGAATTATCAGCAGCCATTACTCCAGTCTTTAGTGTCGCATGATCCTTCAGAAATCATTCTAATATGCTGATTTGGTGCTCAAACATTTCATATTATCATCAATGCTAAAAACCGTTGTGCTGCTTAATTTATAGATAGCAAAAGTATTTATTAAAAACTTTTGAATGTATTATTCAAATAAATAATGTTTAGTGTTTATATAGCCTAATCCTTTAGTAGGCATTGAAACTACCACATAGCAAATGGTTAAAAGGTTCCTTTATGAACCAAAAACATTAAATTAATCAATCACGGAAGTCAATGCAATGAACTAATACAGTGAACTATTTTTTTGTTGTGATTAATTAGTTTTATTAATTAAAAGCCTGAGAATACATTAAAAAATACATGCAAATCATTTCAACTGTTTTTTTTTTTTTTTACTATTGTTTCATACATCACACTTCCAGGGTTTCAAGTGTAACCACTGATCATGCAATGTGTTTGCCCAAGGTGAGAAACTTACTGCGTTCGCGACAACGTTCGGGACTCTCGACTGAGCAATGCTTCAGCTGGTTGAAGAGCTCTCCAGATGTGAACACCCTCACCAGGTACACTGCCACAGAGTACCGCTGCATCCAAAACACAGAGGTCAGTAACAACACACTCATCTTCATCTAACATGTTCATTCACATATATAGATATAAGAAAATAGCTCAGTACCTTTCCAAAGTTGCCCCATGTGATGGTGACTCTGTTAGTGACTGTGGAGAGGTGTAACCATGGCGTGATGTTGACGGGTCGACAGGGCCGACGTGGCTCAACACCCGGTTTATTGGAAGGATAGTAACCCTGAACAAAAAGAAGTAATGTAAATAAGTGAATTAATAATTTACAGCAACAAGTTATACAACATTCTAAGAAAACCATTTAAAACACAACAGATGCATTCAGAAAATTTATTCTGGTGTATTGAGGCTCACGATCCTCCTGAGTGGTGAAACCACCACACTCCCTGTTCTTTCAGCCTAATCAAATTCGTAACACTTACCGGTACATGACAGTAGGACTGATTCACTTTCACAGCAATGTTGGGAGGATATTGGTCCTCCTGAACGCCGATAGAGTCTGTGTAGCAGATTCTAGGAGGAGAACAGGATATGTTAGCATGCAATAAATGCATCTCTGACTCTAAAACGTGATGTACAGACATGATTTAGCTGAATGGCGTACCTGAGAACAACTTGAACGGATTTCATCCCTGGGCGAAGTTCACTGTGCATGTGTAAGTAAGAAAAAATGTTATGAGTAAACAATTAAAGACGCTTAATATTCTTTTGTATTATTTTTTTTTTATATATATATTTTGTTTCTATATATATGAAAAGTTCATTTGCAAAAACCGATAACTCCATTTTTAATCGGTCCGTTTTTTTTTTATTGTGCATTCCAAGTAATATCAATCAAACTGCAGTTGGGTTGTTTTGATTAAGTAATAATAACTTAAACAAATACAGGTAATTTACAAAATTTAAGTTTATTGAAAATATGTTTTTTTTTTACATATTAAAAGTTTGTTTTATAGCAAAAGCAGGTAACTCCAACAGTCGTTTTTTGGCAAAAGCAGATAACTCCACATTTCATGTTTTAAAGTAGGGATGTTCATTTCGGTTATTTTTCCTAACCGACAACTGACGCTCGTTAACCGATTATTAACCGTTAACCGAAAATATTATTTTAAATTCGAATTTAATTAAATTAGAAAGGATACGTGTCCGTGACCCATTAAAAAATACTAACATTTGTTTCCCGGGGATTAATTTACGAGAAATATATTTTTACTTAAATAATAAATTAAGAAAATGAAAGAAAAACTGTGTAACAAGTAGCCTAGTATGCAGAGTTTCGGTTCATTTTTGTGCTGCGCGAAAGGAAACCAGACAGCAGAAAGCGGCATCCTATTTTTCTTTAGGCTTATTTTACAAAAGCACAAAGATTTGTTTTTATTGTGAATGTACACAGATAAAAGCAAACCTTTTAAAATTCCGATTATCTTTAGGACTAAAAGGAGTAGCCTAGTTGCTTCCTCTGTTAGAAGGAAAAAATTCAAATGATTGCGCCGGCGCCGAATGCGCACACAGTTAAAGGGTTAGTTCACCCAACAATGAAAATTAGCCCATAAATTACTCACCCTCAAGTCATCCTAGGTGTATATGACTTTCTTCTTTCAGACGAATCTTTAAACCGTTTAACTGATTGTATTAATCGGTCAAAATTCTTCACGGTCGGTTAACGGTTAAAATGAACATCCCTATTTTAGAGTTGAAAAAAATACTCGTTTAATCTTTGTAATCTCCTCAGATGACAATGTAGATACCTGACAAACGTTGTTGTTGTTGACAATACATCCTGATTTCCTAAACATCAGCATTGTTATTGGCCATTGATTGCTAAATAAAGCCACCAGTTAGCAAGATGACTTTTCTTACCTGGAGTTCCGGATCTGTTCCACTTGACTTGGTGTTAATTCAAAAACACATTGACTTTCTTGCAGCTTCTCGCTGTTCTGTGCGACTGCAAAGTGAGACAAAAACATAATTAGCTCACTTAATGGCTTTCTTGTTGGCTAGACACACCTATTATAATTGGGTTATTATTTATTCATAATAATGGGACTCACTTAGTTCTGTGGGTGGCAGCAGCGTTTCTAGGTTGTGGTAGAACGGCAGGGGCACCAATTTGACTTCTGCCACAGGAGGCGGAGCTGGTTTGGGGATGCCGTTGAGGTAGTCTGTGCCCTGGACCGTGCCTCTGGGCGAGGAGTTAAGGGCAGGATAGTTTACGGGCACGGACTCAGGGCGTCGGGCCGCCAGCCAGGACGAGGCTTTGGGGAAGCGCGTCTCATAGAGCTGTCGAACGTTCTTTAGCAGCTCCGGACTGTATTCGGTCTGCACAAGCCGAAGAGCTCTTCCCAAAAAAAACATGATTTTTGAACATTTAAAAAAACGGAGTTATCTGTTTTTGCAAATGAACTCTTCATATATATATATATATATTTATGTTTTAAATCCTTATTATTAAGCCACGATTAACTATGAATAAGTGTAGCCAAAATAATGAATAAAAAACATGCGTTGAAATTTGGGTATCTGTGAAAATCTTTTTTTACACACTTATCTACATAGGCCTGC